TTTATTTGGACTGATGTATTTGAATTGAACTTTTTGTTTTTCAGATGCCTTGATGGTCCGGTCAGCCGCAGGCCAGGCCACCTGGGCCTCCTTGGGGAGCTGGGCCATCTGGGCCTTTTCAGGGGGCGGGGTCATCTCGGCCTTCCCGAGGATCCGGGCCATCTAGGCCTTTTCGAGGAGCTCGAGGAGGGCCCGTCCGCAGACGCAGGGCTCACGTTGTGGAGGTGGAGCTTGATGAGGAGGAGGAGGAGGCTACCGACCGTCAGTCAGAGACATCTGCTGAGGAGGGAGGCTCTGGTTTTGGATCGGGGAATAGAGGCGAGGCTGAGGGGGATCCTGAGGATGACGGCTCCGACTCAGATGATAATGATGGTGTGGAGATTATCCCGCAAAAGAGGATGAGGCGTGCTTCTCGCTCCCGCTCCCGAGGACTTTGATGTTGCTATTTCCTGCTTTATTTTTCTTTTTGCTAGTAGTTTGTAGCACTTTGCACATTGTTAGGTAGTTTTATTTTTCGTAAAACTTGTACCTTTATTCATTGTAAAGCATGATGGAATGAAACAGCTTTTGAAAAGATGTTTGTATTTCAAACTTTTAGCATCGTACCGCATCATTTTATTTCGCACAAAAATGAAATTTAATGGGAATGTGCATTGTGTAATCACCAAGTCAGGTAGTGAACCGGCGCAACAACAAACTAAGCAACTCAACTTACTAAGATATAACAGAATCTTTAGCAAGTTTACAACTCGATAAGCAAAATGCAACAACGCAAATAAACGAGACTTTAACAAAAATTGCTTAAACAGAGAGCAATGACTCAAAAACACAAAACATGTCCGCTCGACAAACAACTCGATAAGCAAAATGCAACAACTCGATAAGCAAAACTCAACAATAACAACAAAGTGTACTTCTGATGATCTGGGCATCGGAACGCATCCGAAACGGAGGGAGATGAAGGCCTTCGACTCTCCCGTTGCATGGAAATGCTTGGAACTTTCCCTCGAAGAGTAAAACAGGGTCAAGGAGATACACTGCAGCATTGCCAGCCATCCTTGGGAGCCGACCGACCATTTTTGTGGAGAGAGACAGCTGGCCGGCCATTTCTGCAAAAAGTAAATGGCTGGCCAACCGGAAAAGGTGGCCGGCCGGCCATTCAGTCCTGCAGCCACCAGATTTTTGACATGTGTCCCCGTGAATAGTGTTTTTCCTTCTATAAAAGCTTCAACTTCGGGAACATTCATTTCATCTTAGTTTTAGCCAAAGATGGAGGCGTTTCTCGTAGAAAATATCACATCTTGGATCTCTTCTCTAGATGGCTCGGAAAAGCTGAATTTCCATCTTAGTTTTAGGCAAAGATGGAGGCGTTTCTCGTAGAAAATATCGCATCTTGGATCTCTTCCCTAGATGGCTCGGAAAAATTGAATTTCTGGGGTTTCGGCTTGAATGCACTATTCACGCTGAGCCGTACTCCGTTACATCTCCCTTTTCTCCATGCCGCGGCAAGGTTCTGGAATCCAGTGACGCATGTTTTTAGCTTTGGCGGCCAAGAGATGTGCCCCACTTTTGAAGATTTTCAGGTTTTGATGGAGTCCGAGTGCTCTGAAGTGATCTTGCCCCAGCTCCGTTTTGGTCACGCCCAGGCTTTAGGGCGGATGTGTGGGCTCACGGCGCATGATGCTCGATCTCTGATCTGCAGTGGGGAGCTGGACATTCTCGGCTTGATCCATCGTTTTTCCGACGCCGGTGACCGCAGCAACCATTTTTGGCAGGGTTTCCGGCAACACGCCCTCTGCTTATGTTTGTTGTCTCACTTTCTGCTTTCCTCGGGCTTCCCGTTCTAATTTAAGAGGTGAGTATTACTTGTCTAAGTTTGAGGAGTTTTTAGCTACTAATAGCACTATTCATCAGTCTTCGTGTTCTGACACTCCTGCCCAAAATGGTCAAGCTAAGCGCAAACATCGACATCTCCTTGGTATGGCTCGCTCTTTGTTGCTCTCATCTTTTTTTTAAAACCACCTTATCTACTCACTCTCTCCCAATCACTCTCACTCTCAGATTTCTCTCTATCTCTATCTCTCTCTCTTTCTCTCTCTCTCTCTCTCTCTTAACCCCACAAATTCTTCTTCTTCTTCTTCCCTTTTCTTTTTCTCTCTTCTTCCTCACTACCATCATCTCACCGCCGGCACCACTTCCCTCTCCGTCCGGCGAAACTCCGGCGACCACCATTTTTTCCGGCGAACCTCTATTCTTTTTCTCTCTTTCTCAACTTTTTCAAGGTAAATTTTTCTTTTTCTTCTTTTCTTTCTTTTGCATAGATTTGTGAAGGTAGAAATTATTTTGTAAAGTTTTTGATTGATTTATTTATTTATTTTATCTTGATCTAGTGTTCAAAAAAAAACAAAAAAAAACAAAAAAAAAAAATATTGTTTAGCCATGACTGATCTACTTTTTTTTAGTATTTTTGGTGGTCATTATGATTTTATTTTATTTTCTTTTATTTTTTCTTATGCCTATTATTATTTTTATTTTATTAGTGCTCTTTTAGTTGAAGAATGCATGTTTGTTAGTTCCTTTCCAAAAAAAAAAAAAAAGAAAGAGGAAGGAGGAAGAAAACCAGACTCAAACTCGGCTAAGGAGAAAGATGAGGCCGCACGTGCGGCTTGACTCCCGCACGTGCGCAGAAAAAAAAAAAAAAAAAAAAAAAAGGAAAAAAAACAAATCATATACTGTAGTAGGAGAAATAAGGTGTGCACCCTTAAAAAGAAAAATCTTGTAAAAAATGTTTCGCTCTTTATGTTGATAGTTATACTACTTTGAGGTAAAAATTACGAAGGGCTAATATGGTTTGCATCTCTATAATGTGTCATTGTTCCTATACTTTCTAAGTAGTTTAGTTCATTTTCTTTTCTTTTATTTTCTGAAGTTTTATTTAATTTTCTTCTCTTCAAAAAAAAAGGGGGGGGGTTTAGTTTTGGTTGTTTTACTCTATACTTTAGTCTATTTGGTAGTTTAGTTATTTTATAGTTTAGTTTAGTTTATTTTATAGTTTAGTTAATTTAATTTAATGACATTTTACTTCATTTATTTACTTAATTTCGTTTTTACATATAATAATAAATAAATAAATAAATGGGAATTGCATGTGGTACATTAGTGGGCAAATTTGTGCTTTCATATTTTATTTGATTCTCATGCTGGTTTCACGGGTATCTGTATCTATTGTTGGTGTGTGCAGGATATGAGTCGCCGTGTCTCTGCTCGGGCCTCCAAAAAGGCCAGGGGTGCATCCTCTTCGGCACCACCACCACCACCGTCACCACCATCCTCGCCACCACCACTAGGTGACATGCCACGACCGGAGTGGGCTTCACGCCCTCTTCACAAGCTCACGCAGTTTAACCTACCATTTTTTCAGCGTGACGAGGACACTACTTGGGCTATTGAGCAGCTCCGACTCCGGCAACAGTTGGGCATTTGCGCTGTGACCGCGCCCACTTATCCTCGTCTGGTTCGACTATTCTATCAGAACCTGCATGAGACACCCACCACGGTTGGACTGCTCTCTAACATTGATGGCCATGTTGTCCACATCACCTCAGCCATGATTGCCACAGTGTTAGAGTTTTTCGCCAAACCGGAATATCAGCCTTTCCCGGAAGTTGAGGATCGCCAACCCATACATCGCCTCATCCAGCAATACTTCCCGGGAACCCACGGTGACCTCAGTTTCACATGCTTGCGGCGGAGCAAGCTACCTAGCCGCTTGCTTTTCCTTGATTCCGTGGTTCATAAGAATGTCCTTCTACTTGGGCATCGAGCTGAGCGCCGTTTGGAGTTTGTGCGGGTTTTACACGGGTATCAGCTTGGCTATCAGGTCCCGCTTGAGGATTTCATTTTGCTGTATTTGCAGAAATTTCTACGTGAGGCAGTTCGGCATACTCCTATGTAGAACCTGACTTGGCCACTACCATTCGCCAATTTGTTGACACTTGTGTTTGAGCTGAACCACCTCCCCATTGCTGAGGATGAGGAGATTGATAGAGGGTATCCGACATTCGGCCAGCGGGAATGGCAGCACAGCATATCTCGCATCCCGCAGCCGGTAGGTGCCCCTGTTGATGAGGCCCCGGACCCTGTACATGACCACCCAGCTCATCCTGTTCCCCCCGTGCCTCCCCAAGTGGAACCACTCTAC